CTTCTTCAGAAACCGAAACGTCAGCTTTCCTGCTCCTCTGATGCTGCTTGGCCTGCTGTGTTCATATAGCTCTACACCTTGTTATCTTTAATCTACCCTGATCTCAGGTTCAGACCTTACCCTTTAAAAACCATTACCTTTCTTTATAGTGGACACTAGCCTTTGAAGTTTGCATCTGTGAGAGCCCACGTCACTGCATGAAGACTGTATACCCAGCATCAGGTCTTCATTGTTTTCTCAGGGTGAATAGTTAATAAAAATTACTCTTCCTTTCACTCGAGCTAACCTTATGTTAAGCCTATTATTGCCTCCTGACAAAATAATTAAGTGTTCATGGTAGAAAGATATAGTCTTGTGTTAAAAAAAGAACCTAAACTTTTGCTGTGACCAATTGATTAGAATGTAAAAGGAACAGTGGGTTTGTGATTTCTCATGTGGTTGTAATGAAACGTGGGGCAATTGTGACCTTCAATAAAGTCAGTTATGATCTTTGGATTATGATAGACACCATCTCCTCCACATTAGAGCATGAAAGTGACCTCTCTTCTTCCGGCTAATTCTCATTTTCTTTGGTAGTAGCACAGTTAGCTGGATTGCGATGCAGAGTGACACCAACAGTGTGGGTTCAATTCCTGCACTGGCTGAGGTTACCATGAAGGACTCTCCTTCTCAACCTCTCCCCTTGCCTGAGGCAATGTGACCCTCAGGTTAAACCATCAACAATCATCTCTCTCTAATGAGAGAACAGCCCTATGATCTGGTAAGACTATGGACGTTTTACCTTTTATCTTTCTTTACTGATATCTAAAATTTTCCCAATCTCTCAGCCTTCCATCAAACCTGACAGCGTCATATGTCTTTTCTTTCAATTCTAGACCCTAACTTCCTGAGTTAGCCAAGATTTTTGAAGTCGGCTACTTCTGCTTTGAATGTGAAGTGATGCATTTTGGAAGGTCAAATACAGGTGGAAATTAAACAGCGAATGGCAGAACCCTTAGGAGTATTGATATGCAGAGGGATCTGGGTGTGCAGGTCCACAGATCACTGAAGGTGGCAGTGCAGGTCGATAAGGTAGCAAAAAAGGCCTGCATACTTATGCTGCAGCTTTAGTTAGGCCACGCTTGGAATATTGTGTACAGTTCTGGTCACCACACTACCAGAAGGATGTGGATGCTTTGGAGAGGGTATAGAAAAAAGTTTTACAGGTTGCCTGGTCTGGGGGATTTAGCTATGAAGAAAGGTTGGACAGACTGGGTTTGTTTTCACTGGACGCAGGAGGTTGACCTGATAGAAGTTTATAAAATTGTGAATGGCATGGACAGAGTGGAAACTATGAGGCTTTTTCCCAGCATTGAGGGGTCAATCACCAGAGGACACAGGTGCAAGGTGTGAGGGTGGGGGGTGGAAGTTTAAAAGAGATGTGCGAGGCAAGTTTTTCACACAAAGGGGTGGTCAGTGCCTGGAATGCACTGCCAGAGGAGGTGGTGGAAGCAGCATTCAAGAAGCACCTGGATGAATACATGAATAGGAAGGGAATAGAAGGATACAGATCCTCCAAGTGAAGACAGTTTTAATATGGAAGGGCAAAATGTGTCGACGCAGGCTTGGAGGGCCTAAGGGCCTGTTCAAGTGCTGTAATTTTACTTGTTCTAATTTAGGTGTGCTTGTGTCAATCCATTCCCTAATCTCAACATTACACCAGTGTCTTCTGTTGTTCACAAAAAATGTCAGTTTCTTATGTCCATCTCAGAAACGCAGTCCTATCTACCAGTATCAAATACCCCAAACCCTGTACCAGTCCCATATACCTCACCCCTATAGCTGAACCATGAAAACTCCTGATAGAATCTTTACAGTGTGGAAACATTTGGCCCAACAAGTCCACACCGATTCTCTGACAGCATCCAACCCAAACTCAGTAGCCTGTCCCTATAACCCTGCACTTCCCAGCCTTCACATCCCTGGACACTATGGGGCAATTACCCACGGCCAAACCACCCAGGCTGCGCATCTTTGGTCTGTGGGAGGAAACCCACACAGACACAGGGAAGGGTCTAGGCCCGAAACGTCAGCCTTTCTGCTCCTATGATGCTGCTTGGCCTGCTGTGTTCATCCAGCTCTGCACCTTGTTGTCTCAGACACAGGGAGAATGTGCAAACTTCACACAGACAGTCGCCCAAGGGCTGGGAGCAAACCCAGGTCCGTGATACTGTGAGGCGGCAACACTAACCACTGAGCCACTGTGATCTTGAGAAGCCTGCAGCGGAATGTGTGCAGTGACTATGTGGGTGCCGCCTCCCTGAGTGGGCACTGAGGGTAATTCCCAGGGTCTGGGCGCTATAGGCCTAACTTCTGGTTCAGAGAAACTGCAGCACGGAGCATGCGCGAAGTCGTTCCCCCGTCTGAAGCTCAAGACGAAGAGAGAGAGAAAGTTGAGAGGAGAAGCAGTGAGAGAGATTTAGAGAGAGGAGTGAGTGTGTGTGAGACAGAAAAGGGAGAAAAAGAGGAAAGAGTGTGTGAGAGAAAAGGGAGAGAAAGAGGAGAGAAGAGCTAGAAAGAAGCAGTGAGAGAAAGAAAGAGGAGACTGAGAGAGAGAGTGAGAGTGTGTGTTTGAGAGAGATAAGGAGTGAGAGAGAGAGGGAACAGCACAGAGAGCCGCTGGAGATGTGGTTTGTGCTGGCTGTCATCCTGGTGGCTGTAGCACTGTCACTTGGCAAAGTTCTGCTGGGCCGGAGCCGCAGGTAGGATCACCCTCTCCCTGTCTCTGTCTCACTCCCACACGGGATATTCAGCTGAAACTAAAAGAAGTGTCGGTGTAAAGAAATAGCGAGGAAACAGATTGCTTTTACAGTTCAGCCTGAAGCAATAGTGCGTGTGCAAAACATTCTCCTTAAGACTCATGATTTAACTTCACCCTGCTCTGCATCTTCAAAGGCTGCTTCTTTCACAGTTAAACGCACTTTCAGTTGTGTTTTTATTTCAAAAGGTTCACATCGGGACTATTTGTTAACTTCAGCAGGTTGAGCAAGTTTTTCCTGTTTGAATGGTTTGAATTACCTGTTGGCTGTGTGTTGTTGAGTTGGATCGAGTGAGTGGAACCCGGTCCACTCTGGAGTTTGTATGGGTTTGGGCTGTTCTCTTGTCGGAACTGACCCCCAACAATCCCTCCCAGGCAAACCTGCCCTAACCTTCATACTAACTGGCAGAGGCAGCAGGTAACTTTATTCCCAAAGTAAATTATGAGTGCCTTGGCAAAGCCTACCTTTCTAATTTCTATGATTCAGTTCCAGAGAATGTAAGACAACACTGGCACTGCAGTTTAGTGCTGAAATCCAGAGTTTATTTTTGAGATGACACTTCTTCCTGTTTATTTCAAAAAGGCTATCAATTAAACTCGTCAGCTCATTTTAGATGAAAGTTACTGCAGATGCTGGAATTTGCGCTGAAAACAACAAATGCTGCAGATCACAGCGGGTTCAGGCAGCATCCGTGGAGAGAGAGCAAATTTTTCTGTCCATGGATGTTGCCTGAACCGCTGTGATCTCCAGCATTTTTTTTTTGTTTTCAGCTCATTTTAGATTCCTGGATCTGAATACAACTACTTTTTTTCTAAAAGCCATGTGTGTTTTGAAATGGACTGGATAATTTTGGAAAGGATACCAATTTAGGGTGAATGGAATATGGTCAGGTTTATGTATCCTGTTTGCATATTGGGTTTTTGCTGTCTCCCGTTAGATATTAGGGCAAAAAAAATCCTGGGGCCAATCATGAAAAACATACAAAATAGCAGCAGTCAGCCATTCATATACTGATCATCATCCAAATCAGTAACTAATTTTCTCTGCTTTCTGACCTGTTTTGTTCCCATACCCTGTGATTCCTATTGGGCCTATAAACTCCAAGAAAAAGCTTGCTCAGTTTTTTTCAGAACTCAAAGAATTGTGCTAAATGATAAACTAAAAACTACATTAAGACATGTTACAATTGTTTTATTTTGCTACGCAGGATGATAGATTACTGCAGTCCAATAATAGTTATAAAGGTCAAAGGTAAAGTTGCCATAGTCTGTAAAGTTGTTTACAGTCTGTTTTAACTGTTTAGTCTGGTGAATTTAAAGTACATTTTCAACATAATATTGTAATTTAGCTCTTTGTGGTACAATATTATATGTATATCATTAATACTGAAATCATGAGAATGAATGCAAAACAGTGAGACAGAGTTCAGTGGTGCTTTATTTGATGATTGCTTGCTTTGTTTGATTATTAATGTTTTTGCAGTAAGAGGCTAAAACGCAGGAATGATGATCCTCACTGTGATATTTATGCACAAGGAAGCAAGTACTTCACTCTTGGCAGAACATCACTGTTTCTGCTCTCTCTGTCCTCCATGATAATTGCCACATGCTCAATGACAGCGAGGAATATGAACTGTATTATAACTGTGACTGTGATGACAGCCAAACATCCCATTCTTTCAGGTTCCTTCCAGACACCTTTCTTGACGTGCAATAGAATATTTTCTGGCCCCTGATGTCTCTCCGTATCCAATATTATTCAACTGTGTTGATTCACTCATTGCAAAATAGTTGAATTGCAACTGTGAGTTGTCCTGGAATTCGTCTGTGGGGTTCCTGGCTTTTCACAACTTCTAAGAATCATGTGTGTAGGTAAGAAGAAAACTCATCACAGAAAAATGTAGTTGGCAACTCAGCCCAAAATCTCAACTTGCAGATAAAGTCAAATTATACGGGCTCTGGGGATATTTTAATTATTCATTCAGAGACCATTTTATGAATGAGCATTGGTATCTTTTTGCAAGTGTCCAGTTAGATACAGCTCAATTTGCAAGAAAAATCTTTCTACTATTGTGTTTCTTTCATTTCAACATCATTAGAGTCCAGTCAGCAGATATAAATCACCCACGCCTTCTCTTATTGGCAGCTCCGAACTATTCAAGTGTTTAGAATCTCTTTAACTAAAGTTGCCATGCAGTAACTTGTTGGTCTAAAAGTTGAACTCTGGGAACTGATGAGTTATCAATTAGTCTGTTACCACATGATAGATATGTCCCCTGCTATAGTCCATTTAAATTTGGGAAAAGTACACTGCTTCACTGCAGTTCCCCAAACTTCGAAACACTCATACTGGAAAAAAACCTAGAAGTTGCCTTTGGTTTCACATTGATTTCAGGTGATTACTTCATTAACCAGAAAATAGACCTGACATGATACTGTCTGTTGTAACAGAGGAAGACTAATATGGTTTACAAGCTGTTCCAGTGCAGTTACAACATTGGCATCTACCTGATAATGTGGAAAATTGCTCAGGTATGTCCTGTATACACAGAAAGCAGGACAAATCCAACCCAGCCAATTCCGGCCCCATCAGTCTACTCTCCAATCATCAGTAAAGTGATGGAAGGTGTCATCAACAGTGCAACCAAGCAGCACCTGCTCAGCAATAACCTGCTCAGTGACACTCAGTTTGGGTTCCATCAGGGCCACTCATCTCCTGACTTCATTACAGCCTTGATTCAAACGTGGACAAAAGAGCTGAATTCCAGAGGTGATGTGAGAGTGACAGCCCTTGACATCAAGGCTTCATTTGACTGAATGTAGCATCAAGGAGCCCTAAAAACATTGCAATCAATGGATGTCAGGGGGCAAACTCTCTGCTGGCTGGTGTCATTCCTGACACATAGGAAGATGGTTGTGGTTTTTAGAGGTCTATCATCACAGCTCCAGGACATATCTGCAGGAGTTCCTCAGGGCAGTGTCCTAGATGAAACCATCCTCAGCTTCTTCATCAATGACTTTCCCTCCATCATAAGGTCAGAAGTGAGGATGTTCCCTGATGATTGCACAATGTTCATTCCAATTTATGACTCCTCAGATACTGAAGCAGACCATGTTCAAAGCAACAAAATCTGGATAATATTCAGGCTTGGGCTGACAAGTGACAAGTAACATTCGGGCCACACTAATGCCAGGCAATGAACATCAACCACTGCCCCTTGGCATTCAATGCTGTTTATCATCACAGAATTCCCCACTGTCAATATCTTTGGGATTATCATTGTCCGGAAACCCAGCTGGACTCGGCATGTAAACACAGTGGCTACAAAAGCAGGTCAGAAGCTAGGAATACTGCAGCGAGTAACTCACCTCCTGACTCCTCAAAGCTTGTCTATCATCTACAAGGCACAAGTCAGGGGTGTGATGGAATATGCCTCACTTGCCTGGATGGGTACAGCTTCAACAACACTCAAGAACCTTGATATCATCCAGGACATAGCAGCCAGCTTGATTGGTACCAGATCCAGAAACATCCTCTCCCTCCACCACTGACAGTCACGGCAGCAGTGAGTACTATCTACAAGATGTCCTGCAGAAATTCACCAAAGATCATCAGACAGCACCTTCCAAACCCACAACCACTTTAATCTAGAAGGACAAGGGCAGCAGATACATTGGAACACCAGCAGTTGGAAATTCACCTCCAATTCACTCACCATCCTGACTTGGAAAAGTACTGCTGCTCCTTTAGCGTCACTGGGTCAAAATCCTGGAATTCTTTCCCAAAAGGCATTGTGGGTCTGCTGATTTCACATGGATTTGCAGCAGTTCAAAAAGGCAGCTCACCACCACCTTCTCAGGGGCAGCTAGGGATGGGCAGTAAATGCTGGCCAGCCAGTGACGCCCACATCACATGAATGAATAAAGAAATGCATTGCTTTGGCGAAGAGATTTGTGATCTTTGGTTAGCCTGAAGTCATTATGCAAATATACGTTATTGTCGCGAGTAACAAAATGAAATAAAGATCCAGGTTTGAACTTGGTGAGTGCCAGTTGTCTAGAAAGAGGAAATTCCTCAGTTGCTGAGGTTATACAAGGATTATACATGTTGGATAATCTTGGGAGAAGATTTATTCTCCTGGGACCAGCATTTCTTACAAAGCCATATTAATATCAACCCCTCCATGTTCAATTTGCACCCATCTGAAGGCTAATGTCATTGTCAGCCTGGGCAAACTGGTCACCAGTCCTATGTTTAATCCCCTTGTGAATCGGGTAAGTGGAAACTCTCACCATTAGAAATTTCTGCTGCAATCAGCTTCCTTTTACATGGCCTTGCAAAAGGTGGGCAGATGATTCATCCCATACCAGATTTAAAGTTAGCCGTTGTCATTATGGGGTCCCAGCATTTTTGCAGGTTGTTTGGGATCTCAGCATGCAGAACACACAAAAAGAAAATGTTGCCTCATTGGCCCAGACCATAAATAGATTCTCAATGTCCCTGTTCTGCCGGTGGTAAATGGGGGCAAACAGCATCAGTTTTGCAATGCTATATCTCTTACGCCAAGGTTGCCTGAATGAATCTGACCCTGCATTAAGTTGGACCATTTTTAATCTCTGCATGGCATAGTGGTAATGTCTGAGAGGGAGTCATCAAGTCTTTTCTGCATCGAATAAAAGGCCCTTTGGTCCATCTGTCTCCAGCAGTCATCAAACACCTATCTAATAGTCGAATCCCACTTTCCTGCACTTAGTCCATATCATTGTAGATATTTCTGATCAACCTGTTCAGAGATGTCATTACCTATTTCTGTAGCAGGTGGGACTTGAACTGGGGCCTCCTGGCTCAGAAGTAGGGACATTATTATGTGTCACAAGAGCCCATCCCATATCCTTGTATACTTTGGTATTTCAAGTGCTCATCTAAATAATTCTGAAGTGTCT